AGAATCACGCCAAACCAGAGAACACACTCAAACATGGCACCAGCTGAACTAATGTTCGCTAGAAAAGTTAAGTCAGTGTTTGACAAGATTTTGCCAGAAAATAAAGAAAATACCATGTATACAGCGAAAAAAGATACACCCCGGAGAGAAGTTGTTTTTCAAGTGCTACAAAACAACGTTGAGTTCTGGGAGCGAGGCATAGTGGACAAGAGAATCGGTGACCTGATTTACATAATTAAAGGACCGAAGAATACTTTGCTAAAAGGCAACAGAACCAACTTAAAAAATATTACGGTATAGAGCATGGAGAGAGTATACTGGATGAGGACGAAGATCCCATTGATATAATGTATGATATGTTTCAGGTAGAACCTCCGCAGAATACTCCTGAGCCAAGAAGATCCGGTAGGAAACGGAAGTTCACGGATCCATTGGACGTGAATCCAAAACGGAAAAAATATTAAAATTAGGCAAATGGATCTACAAAGAAATAGCCATAATCATCAACCCATATAGGAAGCTAATTTGAAATCCAAAAGGAATTCCAAGGCTTGGGAGGGGGGTGTTGTGGTAGGATCCACCTAATTTACATAGTGGAGTACCGGCCATATAAATATGGTTGGTACCGGGAAGACGGGGGAGGAAGAAGAGATCCAATCCAGAGACTCTGCCCGACTGCGACTAATGTCAACCTATTCTACAGGAACGGTCTTCCCAAGAATATACCAAAACTATCTGTAAATATTGTGTACACGTTCTTGTGTCAATACATTTTGTTTAAATACATTTTGTGTTGTATTATTATTATTCCATGCTTTATTCAAGTTTCAACAGATAGATATGAACAAACGTAGACAGACAGACAGATAGATAGATAGATAGATAGATAGATAATGAATAGACTGAGATAGATAATGAATAGTTTGAGATAGATAGATAGATAGATAGATAGATAGATGTTATCGAAATTGAGAGAACATATTTTTCATGCCTACTTTAACGAAAATGCCTTCACTACTAGCATTGACTTTTTCAGATATTGGCACTACACAATCATACTAAATGTATGACTTTTGCTTAAATGAACTAAATAAAAACCTAGATGATCTCGTCTGCGGTCGGAGATATACATACACTCACTCATACATTCAAATATATATATATATATATATATATATATATATATATATATATATATATATATATATAATTTGCGTCCAAATCTCTGTGCTTCAGTATGAATGTTCAGTTCTGTAATGTCTCTTCTCTTTACTCGACTGTTCCGTTGAAATCACAGAAGTTTCCGTTCAAAGGCAATCATAGGCACGTGGATTTCTATTATCGACGACTGTAATCAGTCACGTGAAACCGCTTTTTTTCTCTCCATCACCTTCCACCACCGTCTCCGAAACGAACCAGCGCCACTAAAAAGAAAACTCACAAATCAGCAAGGAACGATATCCAACCTAAAAACGCACATAAACCTTCTCACCTCGGGCAATCTGAGATCAGAAACCCGGACATGCATAATGCGGCCAGGGCTTCATCATAGACCAACAAATTTGGTTGAAAGTTTCTGACGTTTGATGGCATGCCAGAGGCTAAATGGATTTTTGCCGTTCCGATTTCAATTGATCTTTGGATAACCATGTTCATCCCTTCTAATGGACGTATGCCCAATCTCCTAGTAACTCAAAAATTGGGTTCTTAAGTCTTTCGTGTTTGGAAAGGCAATCGAGAAGCGATTTGTAGCTATAACTGGAAGAACCCTTCAATTTTTGACTTCCTTATTTTTTTTTTTTTGCCCTGTCTTCTGTTATGCATTTCTGTTCTTCCTTCCTTCACCATTTTTTTTTTATTTTTTCAAAGTGTCCCCTACCGTAAAACGTTTTCCAGTATCGTCCTCCTGCAATCCATTTTTTTTTATAGAAATCACCATAGGGGTAATTTATGGGTTCAGTTTTGGAATTAGTTCATTGGTGTGAAATTGAATGACAAAGTAGAAAAATATCATTATGATCAGTCAGTTATGTGCCATGAGTGATACTCGCTTAGGCAATCATGTACCTTTTGATACATAACTGACGAGACAGATTTTTTCCGCAGTAGTTTGCCATTTCTTTCTATGGTAGACCAGGTGCCATCCAAGGCTACAGAACCCCGTCTGTTCTGCTATTTACCCATAGCTGGGAGGAGAAGAAGAGGATTCATACCTTTCCCAAGGGTATTAGCACGTAAGTGAATGTAATGGATTCAACTGGAATTTGAACTCGGCTCTCCGAACCGCTATCCATTACTTCACCGTGCCGTTTCGTTATTCAGAAGGTCTTCTTCAGATGAAATAATGTTTTTTTTTTTTGGGGGGGTATTGATAGACATATATATATATATATATATATGCTGGGAGTGGAAAGCAAAATAACGTCGGTTATACAGCGAGAAAAATCCTGAAGATGCCGGGACACTTGATTTTCAATTTAAAATTTAAATTTTAAATTCCTGTTGTCCGATTTTTCGAGTTACACAAGCCTCATTCAGTTTCTTACCACTTTCCTCCATCTTGTCTTTAATTATCTCACATTGTAACAGTAGTTAATATTTTTAAAATAGACGATATGCTGTATAATCCTGGACGTAAATTTACCGCAGATCACTCAGAAATCAGTGCACGTTCTATATATTTTCGCATTTATCAGTTACTTTCTCTTTTGTGTAAAAAAAAAAAAAAATTCGATATTATGGTAAAACATTACGATGAACGATTAATGCATTGAATGTGTAAGCTTATTATCTAACAATGGTATACTTTTTGTTTATTTTCTCTACCGTCTTAGCCATATTTAAATCTTGTCTATCTTTACATTTTCCTCTTTTTTTTTCTGTCAGTTGCTTTCGTTCGGTTTTCGCAAAGAAATCTCCATAAATCAGCACTCGTTTCAATCTTTCGGATTTCCGAATCTTGAAAACATTTTGGAATGGTTTTTTGTAAATATTTAGAGATGCTAACTTAGGTTTTGTTTGTGTGTCCGTATGTCGCGTCCTTTCAGACCTCCACAAATTCTTTACTTACTCTCTTCTTATCTTTTGCTCTAAGTAACACTTGAACACTGATCCTTCCTGTTTGTCCCTGTTCTGCCATCGATACACACAAAACACGTTAAGCAGGTTACTCGTTTCTGTTTCGGCTGCTTTCGGTATATCCCGTGAGGTTTAAATTCTCGAGGATTTCTTTCATTTTTTTTTTATATACGCTCTACAAATTTCAGCTGTTTCTTTCTGGTTGTATGTATGAGTTTTCTTGTAGTTCTTTAAAACATCCTCGTTGTTCCAAAGATACATCCACTTGTGTCTGTATCTGTCAGTATAACCACATCACTGCGTAGCGATATCAGTTGCCCGTTGGTACCTTGTTAAGGACACATCTGCAGAGATCCTTTTGACACATATCATCTCGAAAAAGGAGGTCGTCTAAGTCGAGCGGACCTCACAAGAACCAGGTCAACCTACCCTGATAAAGATCAGCTGTGAGGAGCTGACCCAGAACAAGGTGAACTGATCCGCGTTTCTTGATGTATTATTTTTTTCAGACGGAATCTGGTAGGACAAATAAGTACTCTATAAGAAAGTGGTTCCTAGCAGCCTAAATCAGAGGACCGCTCGCTCGACACGCGAAATTAAGGCTGGTTAGACCGTTCACCCTCTGGCCTCGCCTAACTTTTCCTCGCTCTCCTAACGCCAGCCCTTACAAGAAGGTTGCAACCAAATAGAATTTGCCAACTGCTACACAATTTTGTCTCATGTTTTTTCTTGGGTAACGATCCAGTCAAAATGTTATTTCCTTGTATTAGGCTACAAATGTTTGATTAGAACAAGCTGCACTCTGCGAACGAACCTGATGTCTAGTCTACTGAGCTGTAAAGCTACACTCTGCTGTCTCAAGTATCATCATCGTCTGTGAAGATTTTGTCCAGTATATAGGGAAGTATCTATAATATATTTCTGAGAGCATTTATGAGTAGAACCACATCTCTGTCACTTCAAGTATTTTTTTACAATGATGTTCAAGCTCGATATAGATTGTATAAAGTAATAGGTACAGCTAATTCAGATATTTGTTGAAGATAACAGTTAACCCTAGACTTGAACAGGTTAATGTTGTAGTAAAACATTGTTTGGGGTACACTATTTGTCCGCAGCTGGGAAACGATCAGGTGTTACCACCCCGGGTCAGGGTGGACCAGGGAACAACAGCAGTTAAGAGGTGGTTCCACACTCCTGAAGACATACATTCTCCGATCAAAAGCCTTGCTGCTGGATTTTATCGTCATACGCAGGACTCTTGAGGGTTGTAGAATACGCGTAAGAAAACTCTCGGCATATGGTATACTTTGGGCTGGTGGTATACTCTGGGCTGGTGGTATACTCTGGGCTGATGGTATATTCTGGGCTGGTGGTACACTCTGGGCTGATGGTATACTCTGGACTGGTGGTATACTCTGGGCTGGTGGTATACTCTGGGCTGATTGTATACTCTGAGCTGATGGTATAGCCTTGGTTGATGGTATACTCTGGGCTGATGGTATACTCTGGGTTAATGGTATACTCTGAGCTGGTGGTATACTCTGGGTTGATGATATACTCTGGGATGGTGGTATACTCTGAGCTGGTGGTATGCTCTGGGTTGATGGTATACTCTCGGATGGTGGTATAATATGAGCTGGTGGTATACTCTCGGATGATGGTATCCTATGAGCTGGTGGTATATTCTGGGCTGATGGTATACTCTGGGCTGGTGGTATACTCTCGGATGATGGTATCCTCTGAGATGGTGGTATACTCTGGGTTGATGACATACTCTGTGCTGGTGGTATACTCTGGGATGATGGTATACTCCGGGCTGGTGGCATACTCTGGGCTGGTGGTATACTCTCGGATGATGGTATACTTCCGGATGATGGCATAATATGGGCTGATGGTATAATCTCGGATGATGATATACTCTAGGCTGGTGGTATACTCTGGGCTAACGGTTTATTCTGGGCTGGTGGTATACTCTGGGATAATGGTATACTCTGGGCTGGTGGTATACTCTGGATAATGGTATACTCTGGGTTGGTGGTATACTCTGGGTTGGTGGTATACTCCCGGGTGATGGTATACTCACGGCTGATGTTATAATCTCGGCTGATGATATACTCTGGCCTGGTGGTATACTCTGGATTGCGTTTGTTTTTGTTTTTGCTATCATGTGCACCCTGTACAAGGCCCGAGAGCCATTTGAGGTAGAGGGTGGCAGAGTAAGAGACACAGCTTACACGGATAAGTGTAGAAAATAACGTTTAGCCCTAGACTTGAACAGATTAAGATTTTATTGATCGGGAAAGCATCCTCTTGGGTGTCAGTTAGACAATGTAACGGTTCGTGAGAAGAAGCTACTCGAGTGGAACTTACATCTCACCAAAAAGAATGCGAAAAGAATGAGGATGATTCACTACAATGTGCCTGGCATGGCGGGTCTTAGTCGCGATAGTTAGGCCTGGTGAAACTAAGGAGTGTAATTTATCTGGACACTTTCCATGGAAATAGCGATAGAACGGCGAGAGGCTTCCGATGTCTCGTCCGTGAGAAAAGGGGTTGTAGGGTGGGAAATAACAATAATTCGTTATCTACAAAGACGATTTTGGATTCTACCGACAGTTGGAAAGTGAGCTCCTGTGCATGTATGGTATCAGTTCTCCATGTTCGGGTTTGGTATGGCTCTTGTCAAGGTATAAGACAGGAGTCAGTTTACCACCTAGAGAGGCACAGAGAACGGACCATTTTTCCAGTATCCTTAGCGATAGATCATATGAGTTCCACTTAGTCCAAGGTAGAACCAATAAAGAAGAACTCGAACACAGGTATGGAATAACACAGATATATTACAAACAGGAATATATACAGAGAAGTAGAAGTGTTAGTATGAACAATCAGGTTTAGTAGAGAGAACAATGTAGTCTCAACCAGTATCACTATTCCAATGTCTTGCAGTAATTGTCTGAACACGACTCTGTTTCGGACTGCCTCTGACTCGACTCTTGACTCGACTTGAACTACTGACCCCTGCCTACTGCTGAGGCGCAGTATTTATTAAATATGGAATAGTCCATTCTTATTATTATGGGTAAGATCCCATAACAAATCTCTTCAATGTACAGTACCTCAGAGCACATGTTAAGATCTCGGTCCAGCAAATCAGAGGGTGCATGTTTTTAGATGACACTCACTCAAAAGTGATTCTTCAGCAAGTACCATCCTGCTGAACAAAAGCCACTAAACTCATTCGCATAGAAATCATCCTTAAAAGCGCAGGTTTTCTTCATTAACCGGCACCAAATAAAAACATTATACAGCTTCCATTTCCATCAGTTCTCCAAAGCAGGTTCAACGACGCCAAAATAGATAGAGAAAAAAACATCCGACTGACCAAGGCTATTAAGAGCGTTGAGAGACAATACAAATGTGTTTGGGAGAAGAGTAACCTAAGAAAAACAAAACAGATTCTACAAAGTCATAGTAATTCCAACCCCTTCTATATGGTGCCGAATCTAGGTCATATATCGCGCCGTTTACGCAAACACATGCACTTCCTATTAGCGTTGTCTTTGAACTATATTAAGAAAGAACACAAAAAATACCCTCATCACTAACAATGGCTTAACCAAGGTCACAAGTGTTGAAGCTCTACTGAAAAGATCCAACTACTGGAATAGACTGACCACAATGTGGACGAGTCTGTAGGTGACAAAAAAAAGGGACACAAGATATCTAAGAACACCTTTGAAAAAGGCACTTATCTCCTATGAACTCGCGCAGAATCAATGAAAAACAGAGACAGTCGACAAAGTGACATGGTAGGACAGGTAACCAACTTGGTTCGCAAGGCTGGATCCCACGCTGGCTTCCAGATCCTCTCCTGCAGTGAACGTAAAATGTACCTGTCCCACATTTTTTCATTAACCACAAACGGACATAGAAATCCTCCCAATCTTCATTCATGATATAATACAAATTACTATGCAGAAATCAATGCTTCTGAATATTCTAATATATATGTAAATACGCTCACATAGATTGATAAAGTTATGAAGAGACTGAGATAGATAGATAAATAGATAGAGAGAGAGAGAAAATAGATAAAATAAAAGACAGAAATTAAACAAAGAGATAGATTAAGAAAGAAAGAAAAGATAGATAGATAGATAGATAGATAGATAGATAGATATAGATAGATAGATAGATAGATAGATATTGAAGTGACTACTGGAATATTAGATTCTTTATCTTGATTTACAATGAAATCCAGCAGGTGCCAGTGATGTGAAAACGAAAATAATTAGAACGACACAAAGTTCTCAAGGCTTTCATTTTCTAAGTATAGAAAGAAATATTGCTTTCTCGCATAACTTAATAAGGATATTGAATAAAACTGTCTCATTCTTTTCCTTTGTAAGTGATATTGAATGACCTCTGTGTCTTTCTACCTTAATAACCTTTCAAGAGAAGGTGATGCGAGAATTCGGAAAAATTTCATTCTTTTTTCACGAGATCTTGTTGCCGAGAGTCAATGATATACTAACAACAAAGTCATATTTGTTGACTAAAAAAATCGCCCAGTGACATTTTTGCCCAAAGTCGAACACGCCGTTTTTCCCGTCAGCAGATAGAGTTGCGTAAGTCGTCGCCAATCGTCATTATAATAGAATGACACATCATGAATTGCTGTTGAGACGAAATATTGAAGGAGATTTGTGCCACTTTAAATCAGTCTAATAATTCTGTAGTTTAGGCGTAGGAATCGATAATGGAATGTCAACACTTGAACTGAAATCTTTAACTCTGTTTTTTCCATAACACCTTCATTTGCTATTATTAATATTTATCTAGTATTTCTTTCAGATTAATCTTAGTTGATATTCATCGCAACTCAGACAGTCCTTTTACAGCCACAGAATGAAGAGCGCTGAAAAATAAAGAAGAATTAATTTGCCACTGGTGTTTAAATGATAGAATAGCTTCTAAGAAATTTTACACAATGAATGTAAATAAAACCAATAAAGTCAAGATAATGGTTGAAAATGCTTCATCTAAGAAATTATATTATTGCATCTAGTACTAGATTGCACATAAAGCCAATAAAAATTAAGATGAAAGAAATACTCGTCCGAAATTAATAATAGTTGACAATGCTTCATCTAAGAAATTTATTGTTACATCTAATACTAGGATTGTAAATAAAGCCTGTAAAATGAAGTTGAAAGAAAATATTAGTCCATTTTTAATAATGGTTGACAGTGTTTCATCTAATAATTACCTCCGATCAAATCATGCTGAAATCTCCGGTTCCTGTTAAGCAAGTATTTAGATGGGGTACTGTAATTAACTTCCTACAATTCAAAATATTTTTTGTCTTTAAAATTGAGTGATTTAAAAATAAATGAATCAGTCAATCATCTAATAATAGAATTTAAGACAATATTACATTTTACTAATGACCGTTGGATGATGTCTGATTGGTTGTGATAAAAAGTAACTAAATTTAAGTTGAAAAATACTAATGAAAATAATAACAATTTATACATCCTTCAAATATATTAACATATTTCTTGATATAATAATAATAATAATAATAATAATAATTTTTTAAGATGATATTACTACAAATTGACTGAAGAAAATATGTCGCTGTCATATCCCTCACATCAGATTTCTTCAAGGAATTTCATCAATTATTTCTTTTCAACTTCACGAAAACATCCTCATGAAACAGGTAAGTTTTACCAGCGTTTTCATCGATTCAGGCTGTGGTTTTCAATATTATACCTAATATCTGATGCTTTCTAATAAAAGGCTTCATTATTATAAGATCGACTAATATAAATTTTATAATTCCCATTATAATTATGTTATTTTCAAATCTTTTTACTGTTTATGACTTTAATTTGGTTCGTTGATGTCTTTCTTTGATTTCAATAGGCAAAACTATTTCTTTCATTCCCTAAATAAATATGTTTATGTGTTTATTTGTATAAAAGACGTATTTTTAAAATCATTTAACTTTAGTAAATATTTTGTGCATGGGAAACTTCTTCAAAACTTTGTCAGTTGCTTTTTCATTAATTCAGATGTATTAAACTTTTTGGCATGCATTGGTGAAATTGTATCGACATCGGGTGGTTAGATAAGAAGTAACACGAAAAAAGGTATCGAACTCATAATAAAATAATGAAGTGTGTATTTACCCAGATTATCTACATAAACAGCAACAATGCTAAGATGGAATCAAACTTGTAATAAAATAATATTAATAATGAAGAATGTATCGACACGGAGTGTCTTAATAAAATAATAAGAATCAAACAAGTCATAAAATAATAGTAATAACAAAAAAATATATATCACTATAACGTTATGATAAAATGCTACAGTCATAAGATGAATTAAGACAACGTTTCAGTCGGTGTATCCGTCGATCTTCATATATATCATGTATCTTGATCTGGGTAACCTAACTAAATTGAACCCTTTATTTTATTTATGGGATAGACTGTTCTTTTCCACTACCCATTTCTGGGGATATCTCGTCTCGTTACCCAAATCGATAAACACCTGATGATGACCGGAGGACAAACAGACAAAACGTTGTGATAAGAACAACAAAGATAAGGACAACAGTCCGAATGTAAATAATAATTTCTCACATCATCAGAGATTCAGACAGAGATTAAGACGAGTAAAAATAATAATGAAATGTGCAAATGAAATGAGATATCTACAGGGTGCGATGTATAAATCATCGTCTAAATGAAACTAACACTGACATCTCATTTTATCAGATATATTTACCAAAAAGTATACAAAAATATCTTGAAATACGAAAAGAGTAAATTTATTCAATAAAATCGCCATTGACTTCAACCACGGCCTCCAGACGACTTGGAATCTCTTGTAACTTTTCTGGCCGGTATCCTTTTTATTTTGGTGAATGCTGCCATAATTCTCGACTTCCTTTCACCTTTGGTGTTGCATAGAGTTTTGGTCTTTCACTCACCTGTACCCTACACATAATAACCAAGGAGGTTACAGTCTAGGGTGTTAAGTGACCAGTTGTAAGGGGTGATGCGGTCGCAGAAATTGTCTGACAATCATGACTGGGTTCTCCTACTTGTGCGGCATGATGCAGAGTCCTGTTGCCAGACATAGGGTCTTCTAGCAGCCACCCACTTGACCCAGAGCAGCACTATCTCCTCTAGGTATTTGATGTAGGACTCCCTATTGAGTCTGAGGCCCTGTAGGAATATGAATGGACACATAGCATTGTTTTAACTAGTGATCACTCAAACACTTTCGTGATCACTATTAGACTCATCCAACTCTTTCCAAATCCTCTGCACTGTCCTCAGATTTGCACCCACATACTTTGAATGCCAAGCAGTACAGCATGCCGTTTCCAAATTTCAGGCGGAGTGAATTGCGTTATGGTGTTCTTTTTCTCATAGACGGTGCCCAACTGACCCTACTATACTGTGCAGTTGACAGAATCAAAAACAAACAAGGTGCATGCACGACAATTTACTCATCGCAATATGTATATATAAATTTCTGTGACTTCCGTTAGTCTGTCCGTCCGTCCGTTACACCTCTAAAATAACCATATATTGACTGATCGAAACCAAATTTTGGAGTGACGTGCAAACAGGTAAGGGAGTACAAAAAAGTACAGTTGGTTTTACTAGTTTGCGTAGCTTAGTACAATACATTTTCATTGATTGTTTTGGAAAAATTAAAGTTTTATTATTTAACATACGAAATACTCCCACACTTTTAAAAAAAAAATTTAATCAACAATACTAAACACGGTGAGGAATTCAAAGTGCTAACTCGTGTTGGGAAAAATTCTCGTTTATAAAATGTAAGGCTAAGCATGTCAGAACGAACGAAATTGTCTCCCTTTCTGATCATAGCTCAGTTGGCTATAGAAGCGATTATATTGTTGTAGAGTAGTTTTTCACAGTGGAGGCTTGTATTTTCAACTAAGTCGTCCTAAACTAGGTTCGACGTACAAAACGTTAGAAACATGAAATAAGAGTTAATGACGCAGCAATCTAGTTGTGATGGTTGATACTTCAATGTCCGACATCGACTGACTTAACTCACACCACTGAGCTCCACTGGCGACCGCTACTACTACTACTTACTATTAATTTGGACACCAGTAAGAACTGGTTGTTATTTTCCTTTCTTTCAGTCAAGTGAGAAAAGGTTTCTTTAACACCGCAGAACTTTACTCAGTATCAAAAATAATTTTAGTGTTTTTTTTAGTCTCGATTATTGGCCTTGATAGCGTACAGAAACACAACCAAAATGTCGCCATACCCTGAAAAATTTATCATATTAAAAGAGATTTTTCTTATTATTTTGTCATCTCTCTTGTTATATAAAAACCATTGGATACCATGTGGTATTGACATTTTATCTAAATCCTGATATTAGTGAATTTAACCTTCTACATTTTATGCCCAAACGTTTGAACACCAGCAAAACGTGTTATTTCTTTCCCTTTCGATCAAGTGAAAAAAATTTTCTTTAACACCCCAGAACTTTACTCAGTATCAAAAATATTTTTAGTGGTTTTTTGGTCTTCATGATTGGTCTTGATAGAAACACAATACTGGCCGGGATTGACGTTGCTTACCTTCGGAGATCGTACGGCAACCGGTGTTTCAACAAAATCAGGCCATAATATCTAGATTTAGATCATCGTTCCTATTGTTCTAATAATTATTGCTATGACTGTCAGTACAGGCATTTCCAGTCCGTTTGCGGAGTTTTCATATTTCTTCGGATTTTCTTTTCTTCCGATGTTATTCTGTGATCTTCGGGAATATGGACAATTAATTCGTTTGATCAAATTCATCGTGCAAGTTTGCTTTACATACAGACATCGTTTTTTGAATGAAATACCTTTTTCATTGCTATGAACGTCTTTGTTTTTTGTTTTTTTGGTGGGGGATATGTCTTGCTTGTCCAGTTTAAGAAGGACCCTGAATATGTCCTAGATACAAATTGCTACGATATTAATGCATTTCATGCAAGTTTGGTCTACATATAGACACTTTCTCATGAATGAAATGATTTATGCATTGTCATTTATTTATTTGCTTTCTGATTCAGATTTCTCAGTTTTCCAGTTTAAGAAGGGTGCTGAATATGTATTGAATACAAATTGCTACGGTATTTTTTCGTTTGACCAAGTTTTTGATGCAAGTTTGGTTTTGATGTAATGAATATGGTTACACCTGTGTTCCCCCCCACAGTAATATAATTGGCTGGTGTCAGCCATAAATACAGACTGATGTGGAGGTACAAGGACGCCTATTGTCTTCGCCTATTGCCAACCACTTCGACGAGGACCAGTCCATTACGGTTGCCTGCTAGATTGTCCTACCCGGTTAGAATAGACAACAACCACTTTGCTAGTTCTAACAAATATATCTTTCTGGGACATATCAGGTTTCTAATATTTTCAATGTATGTATTATTTATGAACTCTTTTTTTTTCATCTGCTTAACTGAATCCGATTCTAGTATTACCAGGTAAGTTCTTTCCCGTTGAGTGTTTTGATAATTCTTTTGTTCATTATTTGGACTATTGTCCTCATCTTTGTCGCCATATTTATCACAACGTTTCGGCCGTTGTACGCTCCGGCCTTCTTCATGTGGTTGGAATGTCGAACTGAACCCTTTATTTCGCTCACTAGGGTAGACTGTTCTAGTTCCACGTGCCATGTTTAATGGATGTCAGCTATCAGTTATCTCCTGTTAATTTCCCTCTGAAAGTTCTCCACAGCCTTAACCGGGTATTGAACTCACACTCTTTGGGTCCTGGATCTAACCAACGCCTTTATCCACTGTGTCATGTGTCCTTGAGGAAATCTGGGTATGAATATGGCGACAAAGATGAGGACAATAGTCCGAATAATGTAAATAATGTACATAATACCTAATCTCAGAAATATAGACAGAATTCTTTTGTTGTTCCTTATTTTCCTTTGCGAGTAATGCTAGAGTTGCATTGTCCTTGATTTTGAACAACAGCCTGATGTCCTGGATTAAGAGTCGAACTGTTTCAATGATCTCGAGTTGGCCGTAATTTTCAAGATTTCAATTATCGTTTTCTATTCGTGTTTAATCATTTCACCCCAAACAAGAAGGCGGAAATGACACTAGTGCGCAGGAGGTTACAGGGAAATAATGTGAGAGAATAAAAAACTGCTTATGGGGAAGATTCAGGAAAGGAAAAAAAATATTAACGGGATTCAAGAAAATAAAAGATTGCGATTGACGTTGCATTTGGATTTTTGCAAATTGTAGTTATCAGGGAAGCAATTAGACGGAAGGGACTTCCACCACAGGCGAGAAGTACGAGAAAAGAAACTGTTCGAGTAGAAGCGGCGATTGAATTTAGCTATTTCAACAGTAAAAGGCTTGGACCTAGACGTCAATTTATTAACACGCTTGAATTCATCTAGTCGTAGGTAAAATTGATCAAGTAGTTTTTTTTTTTTCCGTTTAGCTTTTAAGTCTGCCTATTCACTTGTAAGATTTCACAAAATATAATCAATTGTTGGTGTGATTAAAAAGTAACGAAGAGGCAAACTCTGGTCTTGAAAATGGCAAGTAAATATCTTCCTGCAATTAGTTGTGTTCTACAGTTTTCCGTTATAATACTTATAAACTTCCACACCTGTTTTTGGTATTTTAAACACCTTACGGCATTCAGTTATCTAGAGCTGGGACCACTCATCCATCAGAGATAGAAAGTGCGGTTTTAGGAAAAGAGGAGGGTTAAATAAAAAGAACGGAGTTAGGGGCGGCAGAATGACAAAAATTTCTTTAAAAAAGATCTACATGAATCCAATAAACCAATTACATAGAAGTAGATGTATGCTTTACAAAGACTAAAATCAATATAAGCATTAATATGAACGCAAGACTTTATTTTATTTTGTTGTCGAAATTAAAAATAAGATTTTTTCATCTGGCTGATGTTATCCGAACAGGTCACGCCATACGCTAGCCAGATGAGACAGACGACATCTCTAGGTTTGTGAATGTAATGATATAGCCACGAATATTAGTCTGGGGTCATTTATCTAATGGCCTCTTGGAAAAGTCGAAATTCATATGGCGGTTTACAGAGTTAAATTCGTTGGTGTTTTGAGTTTGTAATATATGTAATATCAAGAAAGATGTATGTTCATATGAGGTTGGCGCTTGAGATGTGGCTTGATAGACAAGGGTATTGCAGCTAGAAATGGTTTTGGAGACCACTGATATAGTGTTCAACTATCATTAGCTTTCTTTTGTAATTTATAAAAGATAATATTGTGTTCAAATTGTTTTGGTATATTAAATATTGTTTCTTTTTAAAACCCGTTTCTTTGCTTCTACTTCTCGATTTAGTTTAATTATTTAACTGCGTTCTTTATCGATCAATTGTTGCAGCGAAGCTCATTTGAGCTCATTTCTTGAGTATTATTGGGTTGGTGCATGATTATCAGGCGTCTTCTAATCAATATTCATTATGAAAAGAGAGACATATCAATTCAACAATAACATTTTTAAATGATTCTTCCGGATCGTATGATTCTCGACACGCATTGTTATGACCTTAAAATAATATTTTTATTGAAAAAAAAAGTAAACAAAACAGCAATTTTTATTAACAAATAAGGCGCCTACAAAAACGCCTGATAATTATGCACCAACACAATAATGAGCGGACTTCAGTGGATGGTGTCTATACAGGTTTCTTTCAGTTTCTTTGCCAGAAAATTTTCAGATTTCCCAGTACAAATATTGGCCCACCCTGTCATGCTGAGCTTTTTATTCAGATAGAAGGAAATAACAAAATCTACATTTGGGGGTCAACACGATTAAGTATCCTTGCTTGATAATTCCTAATTAATAAGCATTGATCCTGTTCAACAAGAATAAAACCTTGAATTGCAGCCTTTATTCTTGCACTGTACAACGACTGATAGGTACGGGGTTTGTATACGTTACCTTAATTGGCATAAATTGCAAATTAATTTTTTTCTCGTCAGAATCAATTTTGAACATTTATAAATCTACTATTCTTCCGTGTATTGAATACTGTTGCCATATCTAGTCTGGATTCTTGATCAAATGCAGAGAAGTGTCTGTAATACAATCGATCAAGACCGGGCATCTCGTCTTCAGTCAATTTCTCAACGACATGATGTGGATTCTCTCTGTTCTACAATTATTTTCATGGCAACTGCTCTGATAAGTTTTTTTTTCCTCCCTTTACTGTTGAGCTAGCCAGATGCAGCCGCCACTTCTACTCTAACAGATTTTTCTCGCACTGTCCACCTGTGGAAATTCATTCTGATTTCTTGTTTCTTTAATAAGTTCAATCAAAAATCTAAATGCAACGTCAATAGACATCTTCTGTCTTCTTGAATCCTGCCCCTTTTGTTGTCATTTCCTCTCCTATTTTCAGTCATCTCATTCTCTTTCACTTTCACTTTCAGTTTCACTTTCATTTCTTGTAACCCAAATCTACTGCGTCTTAGTGGCATTGTCGTCTTGCTTTGGGTGAAACGATTAAAAAATAATTAAAAAAAAACAGTTTTTTTGTGCCGCCGTTTTTGTCGTTGGTCCATTTCATTTGCGTTTGGCTTATTTTTTATGTTCCTTGCCATTGCAATTTTAATTATTATTGCCGTTGCTATTGTTGCTCTTATAGTTGTATCTGCATTGTGAATATCACCCACTTTTTAATCATCATCATCATCATCATCATCATCATCATCATCATTTCATTTTAAAATCTTATTGTCACCCTGTTTCTTGATTCCTGTTTACCTTTTGCAATTTGATAGCTTCGGCGTTTTTTTTTCTTTATATTCTTTTTTTATTATTTTCTCTGTTTTTATTATTTTCATTATATTTTTTTCACTGTGCTATGCTTTCTCTATTGCCTTTTGCCCTTGTAAGTTGAGGCTGACAGTTGTGGGGGGGATAGTAAAAAGACAAGAGCAGCTTACTCGGTAAGGACAACTTTGTGTAACTTAGAGGAGAGACGCAGATTTACGGAGACAAAGACGGAAGAGATCGAAGAACTAGTTGGTAAAAAGATGAATTTAGAAACAGTGAGAGATAAAAGAAAGCTGAGAAGGCGAATAGAACTGGAGACGGAGAAGGCAAAGGTACACAATTTACGATATTCATGGGATTGTCCTAGGGGACATGAAAAAAGAGAAAAAAAGATAGGGTAAGATAAAAACACAGTTTTACTTGCAAAATAAAATGAGGGAGAAAAAGAAAAATCTCATATACGAAAAGAAAGAAAGAAAGAAAAAAGAAAGAAAGAAAGAAGAACAGGAAAGAAGGAAGAGAAAGAGCGCAAGTGACGAAGAAAAAGAAAGAAAGAGACGAAAAGAAAGAAAGGAAGAAAGAAATGAGGAGAAAGAAAGAAAGTGGCGAGCACAAAGAAACGAAGAAAGAAAGAAAGCAAGAGACGATGAGAATGAAAGAAAGAAAGAAACGAAGAGAAAGAAAGCGAGAGACGAAGAGAGAGAAAAAACGAAAGAAAGAAAAGAAAGCAAAAGACGATGAGAATGAAAAAAAGAAAGAAAAGAAGAGAAAGAAAAGAGAGAGAGAAAGAAATGAAGAAAGAAAGAAAGAAGAGACGATGAGAATGAAAGAAAAGAAAGAAATGAAGAGAAAAAAAAAATGGACGAAGATGAAAGAAATCGGAAAGAAAGAAAGCAAGAGACGATGAAATGAAAGAAAGAAAGAAACGAAGAGAAAGAAAAAGGAGAGACGAAGAGAGAGAGAAAGAAAATGAAGAAAGAGAGAAAGCAAAGACGATGAGAATGAAAGAAAAGAAAGAAACGAAGAGAAAGAAAGATTCCCTTTAAGAGAAAGAAACGAAGAAAGAAAGAAAGCAAGAGATGACATTTGTTTTGATGGAGAAAGAAAACGAAGAGAAAGAAAGGAGAGACGAAGAGAAAGAAAGAAATGAAGAAAGAAAGAAAGATTGACGATGAGAAATTAAGAAAGAAAGAAACGAAGAGAAAGAAAGCGAGAGACGAAGAGAGAGAAAGAAACGAAGAAAGAAAGAAAGCAAGAGACGATGAGAATGAAAGAAAGAAAGAAACGAAGAGAAAGAAAGCGAGAGACGAAGAGAGAGAAAGAAACGAAGAAAGAAAGAAAGCAAGAGACGATGAGAATGAAAGAAAGAAAGAAACGAAGAGAAAGAAAGCGAGAGACGAAGAGAGAGAAAGAAACGAAGAAAGAAAAGAAAAGAAGAGACGATGAGAAATGAAAGAAAGAAAAAAATAAAATTAAATAGAGCGACGAAGAGAAAGAAATATAAATGAAAAAGAAAAGAAAGAGAGCGATGAGAATGAAAAGAAAGAAAGAAACGAAGAGAAAGAGAAATGAACCTGGAAGAGAAGAGAGAAAGAAATGAAGAAAGAAAGAAAGAAAGAAAGAAAAAGGGAAGAAAGAAAGAGATTAGATATTTAGAATAATTTTGAACAAATAAAGAAATTCTCAACAATATAAATAAATAAAACAAATATGCAGACCTGCAGAAAGAAGGTAAAAGGTAAAAAAAATAAATAGACAGAGGGATAGTAAAAGAAAGAAACACTATATAGATAAGTAGAAAAATAGAAAGAAAGATAGCACAAGTCAAAGAGACAGTGTAGGGAGAGTAAAAAAAAAACAAAAAAAATCAGTGCTTTAAAATATATAAGTAATATTTTATGAACGATTATTTCTGAAAATCGAACGTGAAAATGGTATTTGGTTATAGAAAGGAAAGATTCCGGGTTTTAAAACGAAAATAAAAAGCATGTAATGGCGCGAAAGTGGAACACAGTAAAGGGTTTTGAGGAAGAATTATGAAGCAATCCAATGATATTTTTAAATATCAGTGCAATGAATGAAAGAAAAGGGAAAAGATGTAAATTAAAAGAATAAATAGAAAAACGGGAAATGTCAAAAAAAAAAAAAAAATGAAATAGAAAAACAAAAAGAACGAAGGAAAAAAAAAAGAAAACTCAGAGAAAAGGGGGAATTAAAAAAAAGAAATTAAATCGAAAATAAAACAAAAGAAAGAAAAGGCAAAAAAAAGCAGGGAAAAGGAAAGGAAAATTAGGAAAGATAAAAAGGGAAGAAAAAGAAGGAAAGGTGAAAGAAATGTACAGAAAAAGAAAAGAAAGAAAGGAAGGCAAAGAGAAAAAAAAATATGAGAACTGTAAAGTAAAAAAAAAAGAAAATGAAAGAAATAAATGCAGAAAATAAATAAAATCGAAAAGCCAATAAGAGAAGAAAAAATAAAAGTATAGACAAGAAACACAAACATGGATCAGATAAACGCACCCCATGAAAACGAAACAAAAATTTGTAAACTCTTGCGACACAGAAGTAGAAAAAAAAATGATTTAAATAGAACCGGGGAAAAAAAGATAAGGGAAAGAAGTCCCCGCGAGAGGGCGATAGTGTCAGTGGTTTGGTTCATGGAAACCATTTGCATGCAAATGGCTGCGTGCCAGATGCAAGAATTTGTGGGGGGCGGGATGGTTTGCAAGCAAGGACCAAGTTCAACTGGGAAAGAGGTGGGACCCAAACGGACGAGCGAATTCAATATTTGTGACTTTAGAAAAATATTAAATTGGCAAAAAGGTTTCAAAATTTTCAAATGAAATTGCATAAAAAATTATAAGATTTATGCTAATTATTTAATTTTTGATTTATATATATATATATATTACATTCAGCTTATTTTGAACAATATGCAATGCCAGTTGTTATCTCAAGTGTTCCTGTTCTTTTATTATAATATAGCTTTAATGTTTTTCCATATTCTGTCACACTCAGTAATCCCTTGTCTTAGTGGATTTATTCTATGATTTGGGTGAAATGATTAGACAAAAAAAAAAAAAAAAAAAGAAAGTTATAAATTCCCAATGTATGATAATTGGATGAAGTATAAAATGTTCACCTAAATTAAAATTATTCAAAACTAGGAAAACAGTTAAATTTTCAAATGGATCTATATTCGGATGAATATGGCACTCATGCATTTATATCCAAAGGTAACACACAAAAGAAATTAGGTATCACATGGGGCACTTTGACATGGTGCAATGGTTAAAAAAATATCTCATAAAATCAATTACAAATGAGTTGTAAGTTTGATCTTCACTAGATGCCACTAATTGCAGCTTTGTGCTATATCTAAGCCCTAAGACATAGTAAATCATTATATATACATAATTGTTCAGTATGTTAAATTTTAAATAAATAGTTTTATGCTAAAATTCTATTTTCAACTTATCAATAAAAATTTAATATCAAAATGATAAAAACAAGGCCTTTTTGTAAGGTTAAAGACAAAAAAGAAAGTAATTCCTTCAGACAGAATTTTGAATGGCACAATTATTAAAAAATTACTAGAAGACCTGAAGTCAAATAAGCCATCAAAGTAATGTAATCAATAAAAGAAAGAATAACTTTTTTTGTTATTAATTTTTATAGTATATTATATTTAATCAATTAATGTAAAAGTAAACAAAGAGATGATTCTTATGTTTGCATTTATATACATTTAAAAAAAAAAAAAAAAATTCTTTAAGAGAAAATCATTTTTGAACTCACTTGTATCAATATTTCTTATACCTCTTGTCAAATGCAACCCATAAGCAAAATAAAGAATTGAATAAAGAAATATTTACATTTTGTTTTTCTAATGATTACAATACCAAAAATTTGATTCTGGTGGTGATTTAGTGGATGTTGAAACAATTATATAGTTCTGTTATAATTTTAAATAAATATTTCAAATATATTTTTGATTTTTTTTTTAAATATTCCCATTCATGTTTATGACTTCCTTTTCTTCCATTTATATCAGTGGATCTCAACCTTTTTTTTACCCATGGACCCCTTTCCCCTTTTTTTTTATCTTGGTGGACCCCTTCATAGCTATTGGACATAAGAACAATTTTCTATTCTTCACTAATATAAATTTTAAGGTTTTAATTATCAAAGAAATAGTATACGATTAAGCTTTATTTTTTAAATGAAAACTAATTTAATACAAATAAAATATTCTACTATAATTATAATAATAATTATTATTACTATTTTTAATTAACACAACAATTGAGTTTTGCCTGTGGACCCCCGGAAATATTACATGGACCCCTAGGGTCCATGTAGACCCTGATTGAGAAACCACTGGTCTATACTTTTCTTGTTTTCAATATATATATTTATATATATATATATATACTCATGTAACCAGGTTTGTAATTATGCCACTGATGAGACTTAAAATAAATTATCATTGTATGTATGGAGAAATGTGAACAATTCAATTTGAATCTTGCCCATTTTGTCGCCAGATTTATTTTTATTTCCAGCATCCCATGGATGCTTTGTTACAGATCACAAAAAGGGAATATAAGTAGAATTAATCAGGTTAGTGACAAATTTTTATTTTTAATTAATTTTGCTATATATATATATATATATATATATATATATATTTATCGGTTAAAAGTATGTATTAAAAAGAGAAAACCGCAAATGTTTTGGGGTTGTAATTTAGAACTTTAAAAAAATAATAATAGACTTTTAAAAAAAGGAAATACATAATTTAAAAAAAATAGATATTACAATATTTTAAAATATATATTTAAATTTTTAAAAAATATCTATATATATTTTTCTTAAAAAACATGGAGGTAGGAAGGGAGTTTTTTCTATTTAATTTTTCATATTTTCGAAAAAAAACCTTGTTTTCTGGATTTACGGTTAAATAGCCTGTTCAAACGTTCTACATAATGGTGGGACCTTTGACTATTCTTTAATATCAACATTATATCAACTTGATATTTTTTTTTTTTTAATTAAATGTGGTGGTGGGTATGTATGTGTCTAAAGTTATAGAAAACGATCTTTTTATTCTTTGATCACGGATGGCACATTCTGGCCGTGTTCATAGTTAATCTTATTGAGTTTTGGTAATTTGATTATTAGGATTTTAAAGAACAGATGATTTTATTTTATTTTTTTTTTTAAAGAGGTTTGAGTTTATTATTTTGTATTTTCTAAAACAGTACAGCAAAGAATGATTTTATGTTACAAAAATAGCCGACAGTGCACAGATAACAGTTTCCCCTTGCTGCCAGATTCTGAAACACATTTGGCCCAAAAAAAAAAAAATAAAAAATTAAATAATTGAAAATAAAGTTGATAAATTATTTTCTCTGTATTAAGACTATTTTAAATATTATATATATATCAATATACAGAGAAAGGGAGTCATTTGCATAGAAATTCGAGATCCATCTATAACCATAGTATCCAATATTATTCATGAACGCATGTTTTCCTATCATATCATGTCGAAGGCAAAAATGCCACTATATGCATATATTATATATAATTAAAAATGAATAAGAAAATATTTAATATCCTAAGTCGGATAAAGTATACAATAAAGTAACAGGTTTCAAGAAGGGAGAAGATGGCGATTGACGATTTATTTAAATTTATTAAACTATAATATTATGAAAGATACTCTTCCATATGTCGATAGTTATACTTATATATATATAAAAGTATTAAATAGAATATAAGAGTTTCATATAGTTAGTTCAATAGTATATATATAAATATATATATATATATAAATAACTATATATATTTATATATATATATATATATATATATATATATATATATATATATATATATATATTTGATATAAATATACTTGATTCTCAAAGTAAAAAAGTGCTGGACCCCCACGATAATATCAATTTAATAATGTGATATATAAAGCTAAGGCATTTTTTTATGTTTATAGGGTATGTGAACTTCAATCTTGTATGAATCTCACACGTACATTCATATCTGCTCATGTCATACGTAAGAGTAAAGACACGTCAAGCTAAATGAGGGTTCGTATCGGATACAGGTTCGAATCCTGTCGGGGCCGAATATTTTCTGTGAAAATTTCTCGGACATTCATACCGTTAAATGTTGTTTAACACTGTTTATTATAAACAGAATATTTACTTAAATATTTGTATCTATAAAAAGAATGTATAAATGTCTTAAAATAATTGTCGGACTCTGTCCATTTCATAATTTATATTTATTTTGAACAATAAAAAAATATTAAAAAATTAAAATCTTCAGACACACTGGGTTGTAGATTGATATTCTTTCGTTTTTTTTATTATTATTTCATTTAGATTCTTCGACTAGTTCCGGCCAATATGGTCATCATCGGGAGAAGATATATACATCTCTAGATATGTATGTTTTTTTTCCTGGCGCACTAGGATATATATATATATATCGATAGATAGATAGATAGATAGATAGATAGATAGAAGATATATATATATACTGAAGGAATTATAAATGTTTGTTACTTTGCTGGTTGTTTTTACCTTCAGCATCCTGACACCAGAGTTTCGTAGACGGACTCTCCCGGAATTATACGCCCAATCTTAAGACGTTAATCAGCAACAGATTGCTTATACATCTCGATTTTTCTTTTTTTATATAACATCTTTCATTGTAAGATTTTTCTTTCCTTTTCTTTTTTTTTTTCAGGGTTCATTTTATTTGTTAGTAGTTTGATGTTCAGAACCTCGACTCAAGAGTTATATTTAATATTCAAATGTTAAAAACATGTAAGACACAACATTCTTTTAGAGCATTTTTATTCTCAGAGATTGGGCCACTGAAAAGCCAAATACAACCCGATGTATTTAAAGTGACCCTTAAAATTCTTAAATCCGTTTAAAACAAGCTCTTAGGCAATGCTGTCACATTCACCATAAAATTGATCTCCAGATGTCGGAAGAAATGATGTCTTTCTTTCTCTCACCCTGTCACTCTATGATAGATAGATAGATAGATAGATAGATAGATAGATGTGCGTGTGCGTATATGTATGTATTTTCAATGGAAGAAGGGAAACAATCTCGTGTCTAAATGGTAAAAAAAACTAAAAAGGAAAAATAAAGATACAGAATTATTGTCCAAAATCAGTTGCGTCAAATATTTATCTCGCGAGATCTTATGAACACGCGTGACTTTCTATGCTTCTTCTCCATGTACAAAACGTGAGCATGTGCTTCATGGTCGCCATTTAATCTCGGTACCAT